AAGGAAGGAAGGAAGGAAGGAAGGAAGGAAGGAAGGAAGGAAGGAAGGAAGGAAGGAAGATGTTAAATGAGTTTCTGTTATTGCTATTATTTAAAGGTGATTATGGAGTAAGCATAAAAGTGAGAGGACCATCAGAGTACATAAAGGGGCAAGTTGTAATGTGAAAGAAAACTATCATGGGTTTATTTCTAAATGAAATGGCAAAATCCACTATAATGGAACATGTCACAGTAAATCACAGCGTCATCTGTCACCTGTCTTTAAATATTTCTCAACTAAAAACTGCATATAAAATGCATTTTATTTATTGATTTATTGCCTTTATATCCTGCTGTAATCATAAAAAGACTGTCGGCAACTCAAAACATGTAACAAATCAATACATAGTAAAAGACCAAAAACACAGAAACTTGGAACTTGAAATAGCCTCTGGCATCAACTTTTGAATGTCCTACAGAAAAGTTCTGTTTTCAGTTGTTTCTGGAAGGCAACTAACACTGGGGTATCCATTTCAGAAATGTGTTTCTGAATATATTTCAGTAAGCCTCATTCAAAGTAATATACTGTATAAGTTTGTGTCATTTTTGTTATGTGGCTGGGGTAGATATGCAGTGACTGGGCTCATTGTTTTTGAGGGATTGAGTATCTTGTGGATCCTGGGTGGAAGTCAGATATGGTCCCCACCAGAGTGGCAGGCTGCCAGCAGTATTTTGGAAACAGTTTGGGCCGATGGGAGAGATGAGAGAAATGGTGGTGGTGCAGGCTGCCAGGGAAGAGCAGAGCCGTGTCTGAACTTATCCAGGTCGTGGACAGGTAGAGTGATGGCAGGTTGAGGCTTTTTAGTTCTAGAGGTGGAGAGCAATCGGTGATTTTTCAGAGTCCGGTGGCACTAGGCATCAGCTATTTCTGGCTCAGCTGACAAGCAGCATCTGACCAGCTCCTGGAAATTCAAAGGCTTGCTAGGAAAATGGCCAGAGAGCAGTAGTTCGGTTTTCTCCCATTTTATGGCTACCACTAGGGATAGAGTGGAGACTGGTTGGGCTGGTTTGGCACAGTGAGGTAGCAGTGGCTACGGTGGAACAGACAACTCATATGCCCAGGTAGATGGTGGCAGTAAGAGCAGAAGCAAGGCAGTGGTGTTATGGGAGAAGCAGCAAGTGTCCTGCAGCTGCCCCCTGGCCAGCCACATGGCACAGCAACTATCTTGGCCGTTTCCTCTATCTTGTCCCTGGGACTAGAGACTTGGATGGACTGGCATCAGCCCCATAGTTGAGATCCCAGGGCTGATGTGTGTGGATTCTCTCATGGCTGCTGGTAGCAAAAGTGAGATTTGGACCAGTGAGGACCTTTTCTTTTTTTTTTTTCTTTGTTTCCCACTTTTCTTTGGAGTATGGACTGGATGAAGCTGGCCTTCCCTACCACCCTCAGGTAAGAGATGGAGGTGCCAGGAGTTTTGAATGGTGGTTTATTGTTTCTTTATGTTTCTATTGCTCTTTTTGTGAGCTGTTCTGGGTTATGATATATAAGATGGACAGCCATATACAGTAATTGTTTTAAATATATACATACATACATTTACATATTATCTTTTAAAAGTGGTCTTAGTTCTATCTGGCTGTTTGGGAACTCCAAACTAAGGCAGATTTGGGCATGGAAAAGCAAGAGACTAAATCAAGGTCAGTCCAGGTTACAGAATTCATCAGAAGCAAAATCCAAACACTGATAACAAACGGGTCAACAAATGTTTCCCAGCTGAATTGCATAGAAAAAAATGTATGCTAGGTAAAATAATGTATTATAGCAATTGCAGATTTTTGCATTTTTTAAACAACTTACAGGAACTTTGAAGACATAAATGAGTTCTTAAATGTGGGCGTCCACAAAGGGGGGTGGGGGCAAATGATAAAACATGTTTGACAGCATCCTGATACAAAATGCATCATGCATTTTGTTTTGGCATCATCACCGTGTGCTTCAGACATTGTACTACTTGAATGTATGTCATATTGACATGGATCAGGCATAGACTAGAGATTATTCTTAAAGTTAAGACCCTCTTCTCTTTCATGTAATTTCTGTACTCATTATTTTTGGAGTGCTTGAACTCAAGCTTCTTATATGAAAATATAGTAGGTTAAATCCATTACTTGATTATGTCAGAAGTAGATTTTTCTCACCTCTGCATTGTCATGCCCAAATTTACTTCAATTAGACTGTATGATATATGTTACAGGGCAGTCTTTGAGGTAATAATGAGTTTTATGTAACTTATATAGGCTTGCAGCACTGATAAACATTTTTCCACTATGTCTATGCCAGTGATGGAGAATCTGTGGACCTTCATACATTACAATATATACAATACCCTCATTCCTTATAATTGGCCATTCTGGTTGGATTACATTCCAAATCATTCAATATAACTGACCATTTTGTTCAAAGTTGGGGGTCAATGACAGCCTGAGGGTCAAAGATTCCCCAGCTGAGTGAATTATGTAAATATTTCCTCATGTAACCAAAATAGTCACTTAATTATGTTTATAGTGCAAGACCTTTTTTTGTGCTAAGGTACATAAACACATCGAAATACTATGCTTGCTATGCTCATCTTTGTTGGTAACAAAATAAAAGGGGGAGGTTGTAAGCGTCACTTCTAACACCCCTCCAAATAATCAGATAGTTAATTCATTATGAAAAAACATGTTGGTGAGCATTTTTCCAAGCAAAAGGAAATAAAATTCATGGATGTCATCCTGTTTCTCCCTGATTCCATGCTCACAAAAGAACCACTTCTCTATTAAATAAGTATTTGAATTTTAAAAAAAATGTCCAGAGGCTAACAGGTGATCAAGATCTTCAATATAGAGTTAAATCAATAGTAATAATAATAAGAGAATTAAAAGTAGTTTAAAAATTAAAAGCTTGAAACTGCTGCTAAATAGCTATTCATACAGAATGTAAAGTAATGCTTGGTTTTTAGTCACTTTGTTTACCTACATAAAACAGATCTGAAGAATCATGCCTGTTCCTAAGATATCTCTATGCTTATGATTACTTTTTAAGCTTGTTTTTTGGAATGTATGGGAGACTAAACAATGTAAATACTTTAATTTAAACACATTCCTTTGGGGCTGCATGCTGCTGAATTCATGACTCAGATCTCTTCTGTGTGTCTCTTAACTAGAGAATGTAGTGGATATTCTTTTGCCCTAATTTATCAGATGCTCACAAAATCTTGATTGTCACTTACCATGTTCTCAGCTTATTCATTGTATTTTTGATGGTGTACCAACCAAGCTGGGTGAGAGAAGTTTCTTTTCAGCTGAAGTCCCTTCATTTGCCAGAAGGATCGAATCCAGTAATATGTAGGGATAACTCAGTTTAATTGAGTGAAGTGTTGCATTATTCCCAGTAGTGACCACATCTGAAGCAATAGGGAAGTGTGTGACATGTAGTGTATTTCTGGGAGGAAAAAAGATTTCAAGAGGTAAACACCACTTCTTTTACAGAGAAGCTATAGGAAGTTTCTCATTTCCAGTCCCGCACACCTGTCATAAACATTTCTCACCTCCCATAGTTGCTTCCTGAGATTTTTCCTAACTCTTTTGATGGGAAATTTTTGTTCTGTTTGAAAAAGTAATCCTAAATTTAAAGATACGATCTTCCTGCCAATGTGGTGCCTTCCTATCAGCCCCAGACAGCATTACCAATATCCACTCTGGCTAGGAACTGTAAAGATGCAGCCTATTATATCAGCCTGGGGAAGGATGACAAGCATTCATGGCTAGCAGACCTAAAGCACTATGTCATGTTGCCAAGGCAACATGAGGGGAAACATGGCCTGCTCAGTTTTTCCATCTGTAATCATTTGCCAAAGCAAAAAATAAAATGGAAATAAAGCCACAGAGTGCAGGTACTCTCATAAAATAGCTAGCACAGTGGACATGGCCTAGTACAAAATACTCATTTAGCAAAAAGCAGATAGCGGAGGTTACTTTCAACCACTCTGTTTAGCATTCCCAGGCTGCTCCTCATCACATTAGCTTTCTTTTTATCTTATTTTCTTTTTTCCGGGGCAGATTGGCCCACTTTCTAGATAATCATTACAGACAGTAAATTGGTATTTGAGTCTATGTATTCCCAGCCCTAAGTTCCTAAATGTAATAAAAATGAAACAATAAAGCAACTGAAAACACAATAAAAGCTGCAAAAGCTAAATGAAAAACTGCATTCCCAGTGAAAAGAATATGGTCGGGAAGGCAAAATATGAATGTTCTTTAAGGTTGCGTGGGGGGTCAATGTACACATTACCAAAAAAGGAAGTTGGAATTGTATCTGCTGATTAATCAGTAACTGGGCATAAATAATACTGCCTGTTGACAGGCAACCATTCAAGGCCTCTGCTAATGTTTTTCCTCCTTATGGTTCTTTACCTTTAATTTATATTGATTTGAACTAAGAAACCCTTGAGGTACAGGTTGCGTTCATACAGGGAGCCTCCTTTGGCAGCCTTTCAAAAGTAGGACTATGCTTTGCAAAATAGGATGCCTGGGTCTCCTACCTCAAGAAAAATACAACTAGTCATGAGAGTAAACAGCTGTCTCAAGGCAAGGATTTATGGATTTTTGCTGCCACAATGGAGAAGCCACACTTCCATGTTTCCATCAGCTTGCTTCTGATTTATATTTCCAAGTCGATTCTACCTTACAGTTGCCTGATACTTAAATTAAGCATGACTGAAATGTATTTGGGGTTTGTGTAGTAGAGGGGCTTTTGTTTTATTTTAAGTAAATATTTACAAGGTTCCTAGTAAAATGACCAAATTATTCTGATTACAGATATAGTGTTGTAACAGAACCATGTCCTAAATCTTTGTTCCTTTTTTTTTTTTTTTCCTACAGATGGCTATACAACTGATGATATTGAATTTTACTGGCGTGGGGGTGATAATGCAGTTACAGGAGTGACAAAGATTGAACTGCCACAGTTCTCTATAGTGGATTACAAACTTATCACCAAGAAAGTTGTTTTCTCAACAGGTTTGTGAGGACATATGAGAAAGAATGCTTCAGTCTCCCTGCTGATAAGCTTTTTAAACTGTTTTAATATCACAAAGTGGCGAGCTGCATGGTTTACATAAACAATTTAGGCTTTCAAGTAATTTTGGACAGGCAAATGAGTGTAATAATAATTTTTATAATCTCCCCCAACCAGTTGTCATGGATGGAAACTTCCATCATTTCTGTCCAACATGGAGGATAGCAGTTGTTGAATGAATGTAGCTACTGTACTGATTTTGCAATTCTCTGCAGGTTTACCCAGGAATTAATTTTACTAAATACAATGGACTTGTTTCTGAATAAACATGTGTAGGGTTGGCTTATGTAGATATTAAATGCTGAAGCTATGCAGTGGTGATACAAAGATGTGCAGGGGCAAGGACCTGGTATTTGTTGGCAACTCTTTAAGCAACGGTGTCTTTTCCCAGGACATGCAGCAGCTGTAGAGGGCAGCCACACAGTTGAGGCAAAAAATGCAGTTGCTTTAAAATCTTACAAACAATGCTAGAGTTCTGAAGAATGCCTAGAGTTCTGAAGTTCTTGGAATCAAGGTTCTTGGAATCAGATCCAGAGCACTGCACAGCCATGGAAAATAGCTTTATATTTGCCTGATTCAGCACTTTCTAAAAAAACAGTTAACAACCTAAGCTAATAAATTATTTTCTGTCCTCCACAGTAACTCTCCTCTCAAAGCTAAGTAGAAAAACAATCAGCTTTATCCAGCCATTTTCATTATTGCAAGGTATACCATCCCTTTCCAATCTTTAATGGCTCCCTATAGAGTTGTAATTAGCTGCCCTCCATTCTATTACTCAGACATCTAATTCTAGTTGAGTTGGGTTATTTCTGATTTTGGCAAGCAGTCCTCGGCAGAGCAAGAAATGGTTTTATATAACTTATAGTGGAGAAATAGCTTTCCAGATTGCCAGTCAAACCAAATCACAGTTATTCTTTTTATATATTGCACATCTGTACAATACAGCCTTTGGTTTGTTCTTAGAACAGAGAGCAGAGCTTGCATGATTAGAACTCCATTTCTGATCTGAGTTGGGCTCTTGAGGAAAGTTTAGATTCAGACAATTTCTGGGATTCAATTTCTGGGTCTTCACCTGGCATGTCTTTTCATTTTCTCCCTGTTCTGATTTCTTTACTCTTTCATAAGGCTATGCAGAGACTATTAGAACTGTGCAGTGCTTTAGATTTGATACTGAAAAGATGCTCCAAAGCAAGCAGGGATGTGAGCATGGCATATTTCTGCCACACTTTAAAATAGCCACATCCTACCTGCTGTTGTGCTGCAGCTACAGAGGGCGACCTTGAACAATGGGCTGCTGCACAATTTATTAATATATATATATTAGCAGTGTGTGTGTACAAACATATATACACAGACACAGACAGATAAACTCATCATGGTATTCCTTTTCAAGGTAAGTAATGTCAAGTGAAGTGCAGAAAGAGAATTAAAAATAATAAGCTAAAGAAATTAAAGGCATGAGTTAAGAATAGGAATGGAAATATAACTAAATCTGATTTATACAAACTGTGTTCACTATATCTTTCCATATTTTTTCTATCCTGGCAGGATATCCTGGCTTCTACCACTTCCATCTACTGATTCATTTATTGCCTTTTATTCTCAAATGTCATACTTCTTTTTAGGGATTTCCTTACCTCCATCCAGCCACAACTTTTTTGGTCTTCCCCTTCCTCTTAACCAGTGCTTCTCAACCTCAGCCGCTTTAAGAGGGGTGGACTTCAACTCCCAGAATTCCCCAGCCAGCATGCTGGCT